CTTGGAAAAGAATGTCTTGGTGCATTTGTAATTTAATTAAATAAAAATAATTTAATGAGATTTATTCACCTAAAGGACCTTTAAAAAGTGACTTTTATCGTCTCAAAGCACACGGGGCTCAGGCACAGGACAGTTGACAAAGTGAAGCGGGGCGTAATCATGTTGGATTACCTACATGTCAGGATGCCAAAGACTTAAGGTCAGTTTATTTTGGCCGAGGTAACTGAAGGCAGAGATATCGAGGTTCTTCATGTTGATCTGTGAAAAACACATTTTGTGACGGGTGGATAAACAGACTCATTTCTGGACCAGCTTTTACGTATTTCTCCTTCGAAATTATAAAAATGTAAAAAATACTAAAGATTTTAAGCTAGAATGCTGAGGTGACAGTTTGTAGTTGGAAAGTTAATTTCTGTAAAATTAAAACTAAATGGGTTTTCTGACAAATGCTGTTTACTTAAATTTGTAGAAGACTTATAAACAAAAGATAAAACTTTTAAAAATATTATTAACCTTTTTATTTAATCAGGCTAATTCCATCCAAATCTATTTTAAAGGGAGGCGTGCCTGAAGGAGCAAAAAACATGATTTTTTTGTACTTCAGTCTGCTCCTGATCTTTTTTTCTTGGACGTTTTCTTCATGCTCTAAAAACAAATGTGTTGGATTTACTTAAATTGTGTCAATTGGTTCCACTGAACTGAATTGAGTAAATGCAAAGCATTTTTTTAATTTACTTTATGAGGTAAAATGTTTAGTAAATGCATWAGTTCAGTTGAGTGGAACCAGTTGACATAATTTAAGTAAATACAACAAGTTTTTTTAGTCTATATGTCTCTTCATGGCTGAAGACATAAGCCTCTTTAAATCATCAGACAAATCTAAAATACTAATGTCTGGGTATTTATTCAGTGTGTGTTGTTTCTTTTGACCCCTTTAAGAAGGGTTGTATGTTTTTTTTAAAGTGATCCCAGCAGCTGTGATGGGATGTAAAGAAACTTTTGACCTTGTCGTCTGTGACTTTGCAACTTTTTCCACATTCTCAGCAAGAAATAAAGAACAAATTGTGGGAAAGAGTCAGGAGGGCGAGCAATGAGGGAGCAGATTTGTGTGTAGAGGAGGACCCTTGGGTGCGAAGGTGCAGCTGAGGGTGAAGAGTCAGAACTCGCTCAGACGTTMGTGTCGCAGAGCACACAAACACAGCGGCCGCAGATCTATTAAATTGTCAGCCTGGCAACATGGAGATTGACCGCCAACTCCCCTGCTTCCTGATGAGAAGTAAAGAACCTCCGTSTCTGATTGGAAGAGTTGTTTGGGTGATTTCCTGCAGAGGGGAAATTGTCTGAGTCCTTATTGTTTGGCTCATTGAGCTGTCTGCTTGTCTTATCTTCTGTTGACCGTACCYAGGAGTAAACAGGAACGCTGACTGCAGCTCTGCGATTTATCAGATCATTTCTGTGAACCAACAACTTTCAGCTTCAGTCCTGACTGTCGACTGCTCTGGGAAAGTTTCCCAACATTCACAAGGCTTCTCAGAAATATTGAGAATTAATAAAGAACCAAAGAAAGTGCATTTCCTGTTTAAAAATGCAGTGTGAAATGCTTATTGCTGAAACATTTAGCTGAAAGCTGCTGAATAAGCTCAATGTTTTCAAACGCTATACTAAACTATTAATGCTTGTTGAAATTTTAACAGCTGAGGTGGAATTTGCTGAAGAGGCCAAACTGAAAACAAAAGCTTCAAGGGTCAGAATAGTTGAAGAAATCTTGAAACAGGCAGATAAAAAGCAAAAGGAGAGGAACTATAGAGGGCAGAAATAAGTAAAATTTAAAGTAGCAGAAGAATTGCAGAAAAAGTCATAATAGCTAAAAAATAAATAAAATCAGCTAAATAGAGACTGAAGTTAGTACAAAGACATTTTTTAAGCAGAACTGGAACAAAATTGAAAGTGCAGTAAAGTTATATGAACATTTTGAATTGTTTTAAGGATGTTGAAGACTGATCCATCATCCATCCATCCATTCACGGGGTCTCTTGGAGCAGCAGCCTAAGCAGAGAGACCCAGACTTCCCTCTCTCCAGCCTCTTGGACCAGCTCCTCTGGGGGAATCCCAAGGTGTTTAAGGCCAGCTGAGAAACATAGTCCCTCCAGTGTGTCCTGGGTCTTCCTCTGGGTGTCCTCCCAGTGGGACATGGAACACCTCACCAGGGAGG